AGGAAGGGGGGCCACTGGGAGGGGGGAGACCCCCACCCAGCTCATCATTTGCAATTCTGACAACCCTTTTCCAAGTATTTCCCACCTCCAATTATCTTCCACATAACCACACTCTGATCTCTCGAAATAAGTACCCTTGCTTCCTTTTAGTTAGAAAAATCACATTTGGAGGGGGTGGGGGTGGGGAATGATTGACACCACACCCCGCCAAAAACAAAGCTAGAAACCCTGCAATCGAGTTGATTCTGACTCACAGCGAAGTGACCCTTTAGGGCAGGGCAGACCTGCCCCTGTGGGTTTCCGCGTCAGAGACCCTTTAAGGAAAAAGACAGCCTCCTCTTTCTCCCACAGAGCGGCTGGTGGTTTCAAACCGCTGACTGGGCGGTGAAGGGCCCACACGGAACCGCTCATTGATCATTCCCTGCTGGAGCTGCTGCTGCGCTTGATGCCAAGCCTTCCTCCAACTTTCGTCCTGCTCCTCCAGTTAACCATTGTGGAGCTTTTCTGCGTGATAACAAAGTGGTATGTTTACGCCTTTAGACACAGTGTGTGCGTGGAAACGCCACGTTTTGTTACCTGCTGCATTTTTTAGTGTACGTGCTGCTGAAGCGAGCACACCTGCTGTCTTTTTACACACGGAAAAAAACCCCCCCGCGATTGCTTGATTTTCCACTGACACGAAATACAGGGGAGATTCTATCCCCTTCCCTCCACCTTCCCCATTTTTACAAACGACGTTTACTTTCCTTCTCCTGATTCTAAACAACGTGCCTGTTACGTTGGCTTTTGGCAAACTTTACCTGGAAGTATGTTCGCTGCCCTTTTTGACCTTTTCCCCCTGCACTTCGCCTCCTCTGGGCGGCCTGCTACGCTACCATATTAACCGTATCCGGTGTCTTAGGGCATAATACGTTCTCAGTGGTTTTTGGAGTCTAAAGATGAAAGCACAGCGCATGCATGATTCATTAAGATGCGACAAACCGTAATCCCCCTGGGCCCTTAATGAAGACGGGACTGTGTTTTCCGGGAGCAGGACCAGTGGGAGCAGTAACTAGAAGGGCCCCTCTGAGCATCCAGGTGGTGGCTTCCCGGCCCACTACATTCTCCTTCTCTTCATCCTGAAGATCTGGGTTTTACTGTGTGACACAGGAAGATGTCCCGAGAGTGGGGTTTCTCAACGGCCAGATGTGACCCACGAATGTCTGACTCACCAGGTCGCCGAGGTCATCCAGGGTCGGACACGCCTGCTCTTTTTTAAAATAGGCCCTCGTAGACACGGTGGCTGGCGTCCCTCTGGGCTGCTGCAGGGGGCAGGGAGTGGGTCTCTCTCCAAGGCGTCTTCAGACTGCTCTCCATGCCGCGGGAAAGAAACCCGAGCCTCCTCGTGGTCGAATCCCACTCTCCTTTGGCCGAAGTAGAGCCTGAAGGATCTTTTTCGGAAAGAGTGCTTGGGAGGTAAGCGTTT